GCATCGAATGTAAAGTCGCTCAGAAATAAAAGACGATCACATACAATCAAAGTAGGCAAGTAAATATGATTTTAAAATATAAAATTCATTACAAATTTTACTGTGTAGTATATGCTATAATGATATATTTACTATACACTAATACACGTCTGGGCCGCCTGTGGATAGACAGATACAGATCGGCTGCTCATGTTTTATCTAGTACTTAACCCCACCCTAGCCCGCGTATTCCCTTGGGCCTGCACGCGGGCTAGGCCCACCCCCGATGGATCCATTACATTTATGCAAGACGAAGTACCTCCAACGCTAATCACCGACCGAAGCGATCAAGCGATGAACCCACTGAAGATGGGTTACTTGTTCTTCCATTTCTTTCTGGTTTCAATGGTCTGTATTTCTTTCTGTTTCTTAATTTAAATATTTAAACATTCACCTTAATTTCAGCTTACTTTCATTTGTTTGATTTTGTAAATATAGAGTCTGACCAGTGCAGACGTGGATTACACAAAATTGTCAAAAGGTAATATATTATAAATATTTGCATGATTGCTGATTGCATGAACGAATCGAAAGCCTTTATAACTATCAGTGTCCTGGGAGTATTATAATAAAATAGGGGAGCTAATTTTAACTTTTAAGAGCACCCAAGTGAGTTTCGAACTTCTTGTGATGAAGAAGAGTTCACGTAAATTACATCTATGAATATTTTCTTGCCAGCATATTGAAGATGAAAACAAAGCCAGGATGACGAACAATATAAATTGTATTTCATGATCTGGTTGATTGCATTTATGATGAAATATGATTATCAAACTGTTTTTATCCTCAAGACGCAGGGGCATTGGAACAGGGCTGCCACTCTCGATAACCTATTTTCACCTAGGGAGGGCACTGAAATCCCCTATGTTTCCCCTACAGCACAATATGCAATTATCCCCTATGTTCCCCTATGTTACCCTACAAATATTGTATTTCCCTTACAAATATTGTATATTTGTAGGTAGATACACTGGGCTGTATAATAACTCAGGGCATTTTTTAAGAATTTGTCAGTTGGGGGGGGGGCATCTACAAAAAGGGACCATACTATACCGAGCGTGGAGAAATGATAGATGGTTTGTTGGTAACAAAAAGTTTGGTGTGGTGTCACATTTAATAGTAGGGGGGGGGGATCTGGGGGTATTCTCCCCCAGAACATTTTGTATTTTTCTATCCCTATGACTGCAATTCCCTGCATTTTCTGAAACAGATTTTTGGATATACAGCATTACATTATATCCTGCAAAGGAAAGAGCCTGGGAACGAGGTTGACGTGAAGCGTAAACTCCCTATTACTGTACTTGACCCGAGCAAAATTGCAAAAACCTAAAGTTTTTTCAGAAAACCAGGGTGTGTGGAAATTGCATAGAAATAATAGACATAGAATGCGTGCTCCTATCTTTTCTCAGTAAAAAATTTGTCTCCACAAAATGGCGCATTGAAAAGGGCATTTTGGTTGGTCCCAGACTCCTGAGGCAGGGAATTTCGCGCGGTTGCACGGAGTGCGAATTATTTTTTCAACTGAAAAGTTTGCAAAAAATTTTATATCGGGACTTAAAATGGAAAAAAAGTTTGGTAAACTAAGGAAAAGTGTCTAAAAATCCATTCCAGTGGTTTTTTTACGAAAAGCAATAGTTCTGAACAGAATATATGCAGAAATCGTCGTTTAAAAATACATTTTCAACGTTATGTTGTTGTGCAAGCCAAAACAAAACACAAAAGATCAAGACAAACTCAATAGGTATGTTCTGCAAATATTTCAACTCTTTTACAGTATAAATGGAGTTCAATAATCTTTTTAAACTTACACAATTATATTTCGTATTTTTCTACGTTGCTTGAGCTTGAGGCAACGCTTTTGAAACCATGGTTTTCGACGATTATTTTTAGGCAATTTTACAGTTTATCGACAACTATAAAATGTTTCAAGAACATGAAAGCACTTCATTTAGATTGCAGAAAAACGAAACCCGACGAAGAAAGAACTATCATTTTGTAATCTTATAAGATATTAGCAAAACAGTTACGTTTAGAGCATGCAAAAATGTTTTGAATAAATTATATTTTCTTGAAACTACTTTGCTTTTAAAAGGCTGCACGATTTTCACTGTTTTCATAGTGTTTTGTAACTGCACATTTGCTTTGACAGTTTGTGGCTTCAAGGAACTCAAAATCTATCCCCAAACTACAAATTAGACAACAAGACAAAACGTTTTGACGATGGAAACGTAGTTTTAGCTTTGTTTATACTTTGTAGTTTGCACTCCTGGCCAAAATTCAAAATGGCGCATTCAAAAGGGCACGCACCTGAAAAAGTGGAGACATGATTCGTCATTAGCACGCATTCTATGTCTATTATTCCAGGTGATTTCGTGTTCGTATTTTAGCCAATCAGCGCTCAGAAAGGGTTGTCCGAATAGAAATCCATTTTGATGTATTCAGTCAATTATATCTTTCGTTATTCTTTATGAAACTAGTTGAAATTTTGTAATTATGTTTGGTTATGAGAACTATAGCTCTGACAAAAATATGGAATCGAAATAAAGTATATTACAGGAGATATTCAGTTGTTTTAATCATAAAATGGATTTCTATTTGACAACTAGTGCCAGTACTTTTCTGCGTATCAAGATCACCTGGTTTCTATGGGAAATTGTAGCGGGCTCAAATCCGAGCCTGGTCAGTGGTAATTACCATGAGAAATACAGACCAGTTGTCATGGAAATGCCGTCAGCAAAGGCCAAAATACGCCATGTTTTTGGCTGCACTTTTTTTCGTGTGCAGGTTCTCCTGGGTAAATACAATACACTATCACTCATCACATGATATTTGAATATAACACTATACTCATCACATGATATTTAAATTTCTAGTTGTTTCCATAAAAAATCCTGCAATTCCATACAATCGGCCATACTCCATAGACCATAGAAGCCATACTCCATAGACCATAGAAGCCATACAGTATTGAAATTTACGAAAGGACTGATTTGGATAATCACAAAAAGAGAAATACGATTTTTGTAGATAAACCGTAAAAGAAACCCCCTACGTTCCCCTACAAATTACCTTTTTCCCTGTAGGTATCCCCTACTCCCTACTAAGAGGTGATAATCCCCTACCGTAGGGGAATCCCCCTATGAGTGGCAGCCTTGTGTTGGAAGCATCAAAAGATTGGGGGGCACTGGGTTCGAGGGGCACTTTTGATAATGAAAAAGGCACCTAAAATAATTTTCACGGAAATGTTGGCAAAGGGGGGAAGGGGGAGGAAAAATATTTCCAACCATATCATTTTCATGCTAATCCATTTGCCCAAATTTTGAATCGCAACCAGAGGCTGCGGAAGCATTTCGAAAGTGGATGGGCATTGACCAAAAGGGGCACTTTTGTACACAACCAAAATCAAATGATTTTATGTCATTGTTTACTGGTTGGTGATGTTACTCTGAGTGTGCATCCACACTGGGCAAGCTGAAAAGTTAACTTGGCCTTCACAGAGTCTTTACTACTGCAAAAAGGGCACTTTCGTTTTAGCAAAAGAGGATGTTCATTCAAGAAATGTACTTTTTCATTCTTAAGTTAAATGAGGCACTTTAGCCCAGAAAAAAGGGCACTTTTTTCACTTTTAAAAATTCCTATAACTTTACCTACATGATGGATTTACTTACATGATGCAGATTAGTATTTACAACATAACTAGCTTGTGTAAAAAGCATATGTAAATGTTTTCAGGAAACAAAAAGGGCACCTTTGAATTTGATGTTAATATAGTATTTACAGCAACATTAGTTTGTACAAAAAGGGCACTTTTCATCACAAAAAAGTGCACTTTAAAATATGTTTTCATCACAAAAAAGGGCACTTTTGGTTATTTGAAAACATTTGGGGTGCACATGCCCTCTCCCCCTGTTCCTATGCCCTTATGAAAACGTATTGCATATGCGTGCAAATTTTGCTGAGTGAATGTTCAAATAATAACCAATAGACAATTCGATGAATTTAAAAACTGAACTCTTACAGTCGTACCATTATTGGTTATTATAGATTTCTCATGTGGTAAATTGGTAAAAACAATGATGTTTAATATTTACCTAATTTAGGTTTTTACCAATTTACCATATGGGAAATCTTTAATAACCAATAATGGTAAGAGTTCAGTTTTTACATTCAGAACTCCATTAACCCATTGAGTGGCAGCACTCTCCCCCTGACGAATGAAATCGTCTGGCATTAGACTTCCGGTTTTCCCCAAGGAACAAAGCTAGGTCCTTGGCTTTTCTTAATGGGCAATTCCAGCTATAGACTAAATTTTTATCTAGGCAAGAAGAACAAAATCCACAAAATTTGCAAATTTCGAGGGCTATATTTTCCTCATTTTACAAATTTTTGCAACCAAACTTTGCATTTTGCTAAATTTAACATGCTCTTTCTAGCTGTGGTCAGAGACGCGCCGGAACGATGTGAAGGCAAGGGGGGCAGATTTTTGTGAAAGGGCACTTTTGGGTTGATATATACTAAGAGATGTTTACAAAACATTGGGAGTTGAACTTCGCCTAATCATGTTTTCTATTTATTGGATGATAGGGGTGTGAGGGGGTTCTCCGCCAGGCGATTGTGCTATAACTACTATTCTTGAAGCTCGATGACTGCATTTCTTGCATTTTCTGAAGCAAATTCGTAAAAGAATTGCACTAACATTTCTGACAATTCGCTATTTCGCCAAGGCAATCCTTTAAATTGAAAGGGCATCTTTGCCCCCCTTGCCCCTCCTGGTAAAGGGCAACAGGGGTGGCTGTCCCTCGATCCTGCCCCCCCCCCCAGTTCCGGCGTCCCTGGCTGTGGTGATGGATTTTGTTCTTCTTGCCTAGATAAAAATTTAATCTATAGCTGGAATTGCCCATTATGATCAATGATTTGAGAAGGAATGACGACAACCTGTAGAAGTACGTTGATGACGCCACAGCTTCGGAAATTATATCAAAAGGCGATTGTAGTGAAGCTCGACTACTAGCGGATAAAATATCTGAATGGTCTTTTCTAAACAGAATGCAATTAAATGCTGATAAATTTTATGCAAGGAACTACGAATTTCATTTTCGCGGAACCCTCCTGATTTCATTCCAATTACAGTAGATAATAAATGCATAGAAGTTGTAAACAACGTTATAAAACTCGTTAATAATTGATGAAGAAAATTCAAAAGAAATGAATGTTTAATCAATGCTTGTAAATCGCATAAAAGTTTGTCCTGATTTACATAAACTTCAGATTTGATTTTCTCGGCTTAGACAATGTTTATTTTTAAAATTACTTCACCAATGAACTCATAAGATGGGTCGTTTTATAAGCACGATAAAACATTCGCATCTAATCTTTATCTGCATGATATACAAACTCTCGCCTTCGGCTCGAATTTTTATATCAGATAAAGATCGGCTGCTCATGTTTTATCTAGTACTGTAAACCTCCGAATATAAGCCCCCCCGCTCAAATATAAGCACCCCGTGTATAGGCCCACCACATGTACTAACGCTCACTTCATTCCAAATATAAGCCCCGAATATAAGCCCACCCGAATATAAGCCCACTTGTTTATCACTATTGTTTTTGTTTATCACTATTATTACTGTGCTTAACACTTGTTTATCACTATTACTATACTTGTTTATCACTTTATACTTGTTTAACACAAAAGATCGTCCATGTATAAGCCCCCTCCCCCTTGTATAAGCCCCCCCCCCTTGTATAAGCCCATCAAAAATCGCTTACGAAAGAATATAAGGCCAGGGCTTATAGTCGGAGGTTTACGGTACTTAAATTGCTGGGATTAAACATTAGTAACAACCTAACGTGGAACAATCATATTGCTGAAATTATAAAAAAGTCATCCAAAAGAATATACTTTGAGGTTCTTATTCAACTCAAAAGAGTAAACGTTCCAACGCAAGAACTAATCTTATTCCATAACTTGCATTAGATCTGTGCTTGACTATGCAGTTCCTGTCTTCCACTACAGCCTGTCTATAATTACTTAATAAGTGAAGAGTCCAAAAATGGAACGGGTCCAAAAATGTGCACTTGGAATAATTTTCCCTCACTTAAACTATGAGGAAGCACTGCAGAGGAATTGAGGCCCTCCTCACCCACCACCATAACATTTGTAAGAAGTTGTTCCAGTTAATTACTACCGATGGTAATCACAACCTTCGCCACCTGTTACCACCAAGACACAATCCTACTCATGATCTAAGATTTAATAAGTTATTTGATATTCCTTATGGCTTCATGTAACTAGATTTCGTGTAGTGTATAGACCTTTCCCCTTATGAGTGAAATTTTGATCTAGATATGCCTGGACAAAAATTTCATCACAGCTTGAAAGAGCATCACAAAATTAGTAATATTCCGAAGTTTCGTTGCGAAATGTTGTAAAATGCGGATAATATAGCCTTGCGAAGTTTTCCGTTTTTCAGTCATTTTGCATTACAAACGGGAAATTGATAATCAGATGATCAAACTGATTATCAATTTCCCATTTGTAATACAAAATGACTGAAAAACGGCAAACTTCGCAGGGCTATATTATCCTCATTTTACAACATTTTGCAACGAAACTTCGGAATATTACTAATTTTGTGATGCTCTTTCAAGCTGTGATGAAATTTTTGTCTAGACTTGTCTAGATCAAAATTTCACTCATAAGGGGAAAGGTCTATTGATGCACACTTTTTCTGAATAACCTTAGTTTTACATTAAGCTGAAACTTTAAGCTGGTAAAGTATTATGTGATATGCTTTCTACATGTACTATGTGTATATATACCTCCCAAGTCCAGTTTGTCCAATTTGTATGTGATTTTCTTTTTATAATTATTAAAATAGATGGAAATTGCAGATCGAGAAAACAATCTATAAAGAATCCCTTGATTGGTCAGACAGTACCTCAATGTGATAAGAATGGTAACTATAATGCAAGACAATGTTCTGGTTCAATTGGTAGCTGTTGGTGTGTTGATGAAATGACTGGGCAGGAAATAGAGTATTTTCATGTGGACAAAAATGGCCTTCCTCTGTGTGGTAAGCAGAAATGAATAGGGCTACTCCATAAATACCCCCTTAGAGGACCTTGGAATTCAGGGGTTAGATTTTTATTTATCTTTTGTTTGTTTATTTAGCTTTGCCAACTAGGAAAGTGTCACCGCTAATAACAGCCTATGCCAATTACTGTGGGCCCTTTCACATGATCCAAATTTTCGAGTCGGACCAGTCTCAATTACCTTAACCCGCGGAAAGGAGGGACTGCTCGCAGTCTACAATTGCCTATACTTAAAAACTTTATTAAAACCCTTTGGGAAAAATCATAAATTGGATCAAACAATGACAATTCAACATAGTCAATATTTTGGCTTTTAACACACTTTTTTATTTTCTTCCACGAAACGTTTTCCTGACCGAGTTTAGAAAAATTCTGTAGAGCAAAAATATTTATTTCGTAGAGCCTTATAAGTTTTGGCTCCTTATAAGTCTTATAAGCCTTATAAGTCTTGGCGTCTTATGAGCCTTACAAAATTAAATTTATAAGCTATTTTGCTGAATACTTTCATTGTCATCATTGCTTTTTCAGAGCCAAATTGCTTTATGGAATTAGAAAAGGTCCCATCAATATTAGTACACGGTGAGCCTGTCCCCCTTTCCAATTATGTTCCTAATTGTGATGCAAGAACTGGTTATTTCCTATCAAAACAGTGTCTGGTGGACAAGAAAGAATGTTGGTGTGTCTCCAAGCTGGGAAAAGAGATAAAAAATACCAGAAGTACAGAGACTATATCATGCCCAGGATAATTTCTTACTTTTATGGTGAATTTTAACAGTAATTCATAGATCAATTATTTTTGACCACAGTGGTGTAATTAAAGTTGATCGAAATACAGTAAATCATATTTTCATCTTCGAAATATGGATCAAACGAGTGAACTCATATATATTTATTAAGCTCCTTATAACTTATTTATGCACGATAAGTTAAGCGGTAGAGCTGGTGGGGTCGTGCATTTAGCTAATAATTAAAAATACAAGTGGTTATTTTATGTAGTATATGTTCAATCTTAGTCTATCTACTCTTCTAAATTCGAATGAAATTAGTTTTTAATGGTATACTGTATGCATAACTTTTGTCTTTGTATTTAATTACAGCAACAATGGGCCTAACTTTGTTTTACTAATATCAAATATACATATTAGCAAACGCTTGTATTCTTGACTTACAATGATGTGGGCGACGGTCATGTTGGTCCCCTTTCAACAAAAGAATCTCATTAACTTCTTTTGAATTTGCCACCAACATGGCCGCCATGCTTGTCTTCTAATTCTCATGGGATTGATTGCAAGTCAAGAATTCATGCATTTACGCTATTAGTTGTTAATTTCTTGCTGGACAGACTGTTAAGATGCTAACGCTCCTGAGGCTCCTCTATGTCGTAGGTCTTGGAAGAATGATATTTCCGTTTCTTCTGCTTTCGCTGCTTGAATTACATAATGCTGTTTGCGTGCCATGTATGGTTGTGGGACTTCTTAATTACCTCTTGACTAAAGAGATGAAGTCATTGAGCTAAATGGGCTACCCTGGACATAGACCAGCCATTGAGCTGAATGGGCTACCCTGTATAAATAAAGTTATTCCATCCCATCGTCGTTCCCGGAGCCTCGTGGCCATGGGCCCTGGGATACACGGGAATGGGACGCTTCAGCACCCGTAAACAATTTTCACTGCAGACAAGTATTACGAAGAAAGTTCAAGAAACGAAATATTTGTGTGTCAATATTTTGATAGAAAAATGTTTCCTAGCGAAAATTGCTCAACTTCTGCGAAATAGTAGTTCTCTGAGAGGTCAATCAGATCTCTCCCTTTAGTAGTCTAACCCACAGCCAACGAATGACAGAGTGAAAATGGCTCTGGGGACGGGAATGATTCCATTCCATTCCAAAGATTAAACCAGTGGCGTCACCACGGGGTGAACATGTCCATCGTGAACATCGTCTTTGATGAGACAGTTCTTGACCCTCTTCAACATGTGCCAGATGAAGACAGGAAATATACAGGGTGACAGACAGCTGCGGTGGAAAGGTTACCCAGAGAAAATGCAACCTAGCTGTGTTCCAGATTTTTACACCGCTAATTATAAGTGGACAGTGGGCACCATATGAGTCACGATTTAGGAACAGTTACTATTTCTAGACTTTTAGGGTTTGGATTATTAGGGAAAGGGTTGGGATTAGGATTAAGGTTAGGATTCGGTTTAGGGTTTAGTTTAAAATACGAAAGAATACAATATTACAAAAGTCTAAAAATAGTAACTCTTCCTAAAACGTGACAGGTATACTGATGGCTGTGTATATGCCCATACAATCGGTCATTGTCATAACTGAAATCAATGCATCAGTTGTGTTAGTAGAAATTTGAGATTATAGAGATTTTGTTGTTCAGAACTTCCATGACTATATAGTGCAATCTATTTGGTTAATCGGATACATCAAAGGAAGAGATTATTTCGCTGGCCTCAGAGTGACAAAACGTAACAAAGTAACGGTTTTACTAACACTAACCCTACTCCAAACACCAACTCTAACCCTTATACCCTAATCTTTACCCTAATCCTAAACTAACCCTATGCCAAATTTGTTTCTAAACCAATCTTGAAGAAAAAAGTTTTGATAAAATGTCATTCTGAGGTCGGCGAAATAGTTGATGCCTACATCAAACGCGTCTTATTGGATAATGGTCACTTAATGGTAGTGGTAGCGGAAATCAAATCTGAACCTTTCAAATAGGTTTGATGACCCATTCAGTTTAGCGTATATCTAGGCCCTTTACCCGGCTGGGGCTCTTTTCCACTCATCACAAAAAAAAACAACTCGCAAGATTGATGCGAGTGTTTGCATCTAATTAAAATAGACAGAAAATGCCAGAAATGCAGTCATTGAGCATCAAAAATATGTAATCTCACTTTCTGAGGAGGAAACCCATACGCCCCTATTGTCTTTACAAAACACTTACGTGCTAGGGTGGTGGAACAGGGATGAAAGCGGGGCGAGTGAAGCCGAAAGAATCCGAGTGGGCCGGGAGATTAACTTAATAATAATAGTCTTCGCTGTCTCAAATGCAAACTTATTAATATACATTGTCATTAATATACTCGTGATTCCCAGTTGAATGATTTGAAACAGTTGTTGTGAGTGGTTAGGTTTTTTAACCGTTGAGGATATTGCAAGTCATTTCCTTCCCAGAATGTAGGAAGATTCGAGATTTCAAAATTTTCTGGGGAAACATGCCGGGAATCGATCGAGTTTCCCAACCATTCAGTTTGGCACCATCATAATTTACAAAGCTAATTCAGGTGAAATGATTACCATCCTTGTCAGCAGACAGTGTTGGGGAACTTTGTTGTATTACAAAGCTCTATACTGTGACTATGTCTCACACTGAATTAAACTGTGAAGTATTCTGAAATCAATATTTGACGCTGTTAAAAGGTGATTTCTTAAGACCTTTACATATTCTCTGGGTACCACCACAACGCATGCAGGAAATGCCGTTTCAGAGACTAAAAATTTTCCCCCGCAGGCTGCTCCATTTACTGTTCGAGTTTGGAACACTGTTCTGGAACGATATAAAATGGAGTGCACACGGTGTTCTGGAACAGTGTTTAGTTTATTATCTATGCGTGCAACCATGCATCACTATATTCATTAGTTATTCGCATAATAAAGCGTATAATGATTTGATGTTATTTGTACATCTAGACCGTCTACTTATGCTTTTGCAACGTTTTTACTCGTTGATTTTGCCCAACCCTGGCGTTCAAATAGCATATAATAAGTACATGTCGAAATATAGCGGTTAACCCTTCAAAATAACCCTCTATATAGAGCATTATACTGTACACAAAATATATCGCCTCCATTTCCAATCGCGTAAAAATAGGCAGTGTCACGTGTCTGTTCTGGCTGCCCCTACTCGAAAATCGGGGTAGTCAGGAGGCTGCTCATTTACTGTTCGGAGTACTCCGGATTTTCGGAACACTAATTAAATCGAACCAACAATGATCACATGACTGTTCTGACGGTCACATGTCTGTTCTGGCTGCGCCTACTTTAGAGTAGGGGCAGTCAGAACAGTCATGTGACCGTTTTCGGTTCGATTCAATTAGTGTTCCGAAAATCCGGAGTACTCCGAACAGTAAATGGAGCAGCTTGCCGGGGGAGCATGCCTACGGACGGCCCCTCCCCCACCAAATACAATCCTGGCGGCGCCAATGCTACTAATTATGTATAGGTTATTAGCTGTTTAATATGTAACACATGCAGTTATTGGCTATATTGGCTATGACATTGTTTTGGGACACCTTGTATCGAGTAGCCCAATTGTCGCTACATATATGATCAAAACAATTAAACATTCAGTAGATCTATCAGCGGAAAGTGTTGCATGACGAATTATTTTTGAGGCCCTCCGCTTGTCACTCATTTTGTAGCTGCTTTGTCGATTGTTTTATACTTTTATTGTAATAAATATCGCTGTCACTTCTCACCCATAAGTAACACAAATCACAATTTTTCGCTTTTTCCCCAGTCAGAAGCTGTCGTTTTTCGCTCTTTTTTTAGATAGTCTGTCGGTCCGTTTTTAATAAGGAATGTCGCCTGTCGGTCGGTGCAAGACTCCAAGAGAGTGTTGAAGTTATTTCGTTAATAAGATCTGGTGTCAATATCAGCCTACTATAGAATATTGGTCTTTACTGGTAACCAAACATTATAGATTTAGTCTATAGATCTGGAATATGAAAAAATTAATGCTAATATTTAGTTTATTTCAGTTACATTTAGTGGTACACGCATTACTCGTTAGAAAACCGCTTGATTAGAGAGAAGTCAGTAGTTTTATATTATCCAATGTTTAGTATTCAAGTGATGTTCCGCATGAATGCTTGTCGTACTTTGAATTGGTAATGACAGCTAAATAAACCTGAGCCATATACAATTAAATAATTTACAACACCTAACAAGAGAGGAAGAGTTCTCCTTCCGCTGCAGCTATACTCGCAGTTTATCATTGACATTGTACAATGAAGGACAACAGCGAACCAGAACTCACTGAAAAGTCACCTTTGCTGACAAGTAGTGGTGGATCACGCTCATTCAAGCTTCCTGATGTGTCTGTTAAATCTGGGTAAAAGCGGTCCTCACGTTGTGTTCGGATCTTTAGACTCGCATGCCTAATTGCAATATATTTAGTTTGGTAGTCTCCCTCGCAGTAGTTTGGCCGTATGTATTGATTTCTCAGGCGGTGTGGAACCACCTGGGGCTATAAATGATAAGATGGGGCAGAATAGATAGACATGCCGCCGAGTGTGCTCTACACATAAATATTCGCCTTTCATGCCCGGCCCGTTGAAAGCTGGAACCATGCTGTGAAGCTATCATGCTGTGTATATATCGTTTATCAGTGAACATGAATTTGTGATGTAGGCTAGTTTTCTCTATAAGACAAAAATTTGTGATATCTGTTAACCTCGAATTTATACTGTAGTTTGTTGAGTTCACATCATGGCCGACAACCAAACAATGCTCGATCAAGCTCGTGGATAAAATCAACATTCACTTTATGTCGTTTATTGTCTTACTGTGCAGGGTGGTAAAAAGCGCGGGGTTGTTGATAACATACAACAATTAATGGTCCCCGTCCGGCGGCAGGCGCAGGGATTGCATGGTTTTGGGTAGTTTAGGATGGCGAATTAACAACGTCCCAGTGAAAGTCGAAACAAACGCCTTAATTGTTCAAACTTGCATGCTTGTATGAGGAACTGCAATGATTATGCGGATTCTTAATTAATTAACATTTTAATATGGATGCCCAAGGGAAGGGCTTACCGTAGCCTAGGCTTACCGGTTTAAACACAACGCGGCCGAGGAAATGGCATTCATCTAAATAAATTTATATCTACGCCAATAATGGCTGTGGCTTTGTTCCACGCTAACTAGTGTTACATCGCTTTGCCATTCTGTTTTCGAAACATGAAGTCATAGTTCGACTTGACTGCCTCTATAATTGGCTGTCGTTTTCCTGTGTTCCATGTAACTGACAAAAGTTTTTGTTCTTCGATTGACGTAAGCATTTTGCCAAAATTTCAGGCGTAATTCTCGCGTCCCGC